CCAAGGTACATGCCCTTGACCGGAATCGAACCTGGGACCCTTCAGTCCACAGGCTGACAGTCTATCCACTGAGCCAAACCGGTCAGGGCTGAACTTTAGTTTTATTCTAAGTGTACAGAGATGCTTGGCTAGCATATGGTCACTTTAGTTTCTACCATGAAACGTGGGAGGAGAAAATATGCCCACTGTGGTGTGGACTTCCCAACCACAATTTATGTCCCTTCGATGACCAATAACATCGATGTAAATTTATCTCATTTCTTCCGCAAAAGAAAAGCCAGTTTCCTTAATCATGGGTACCGATCATTTCATTTGATTTGTTTTTCCTTTGCTGCATTTTTAGTTTAATTTTCATCAGTAGCTTGTCTTTATTTGCCTGGACTGAACATTCTTCTTTCTTTACCCCCTGTTCATTGCAAACAGCCACGAGGCAAATGTAGTCTCTCACAGCCTGGACCCTCTGTCAACAGTCCACATAGCAGGTACCTTATTCTCCTGGTTTCCACACTGTTCTAGAACTGCAAGAGGATGATGAAAATTGCCCATGGTGTTGATAGGGCTCTCTCTGGTGTGCCTTGGGGCAGTTGAGAAATTACTCATTTCAGTGCACACCCTTTCGGAATAAATTGGAAGAGACTTTTCTATGTGGAAAGTGCAAGCGAATCTCAGAGCATGAAATATTTGGACCCCACCAAAATTGGGATTAACACTACATAGGCCATCTGGAACTTTTCATCCAGTGGTATCCTGTGTGCATCTAGGATTTGATACGTCCTATAACATAGCTGCTGTTTGAGTCGTGGCAGACTTTTATCATCCTCTTTCTTTCTAGATTTTACAATAAGACAGGTAATCGATCAATGAATTATTTTACCATTCCCGGAAACCCACACATCTGAATAAAATCTACTAACATCCCCGGCTTTTTCTTTTCTTTTCATGTTTTATCCAGATTGTGGGTTTGGGATTCTCCAAATGGCAAGTCCGAATTCAGTGTTCTTTAACATTTATAAGCACCTTCTCTCTTCTGCTTCCCCTGAAATTTCTCTTCATGCACCCAGCACACTCAGTCACTCACCCTCCTGCCCGGGGCGAGCTCTGGCCCCTGCCCAGAGCCCACTCACCGCTGCCACCCTGTGCTTCACACCCGCCCCAGCAGTCCCTGTGTCTGCAGCTAGCGGTGCTTTGCCTACTTCGTTGCTGGTGTGATGTCTGTGCTCCCTGCCCCTTCACTAGTCAGCGCCCGCTTCCCCAGACAGCTGTCTACATAGAAACACTGTCCTCAGAGCTGACTTTTCATTCCCGTCCCAAGCAGTTCAGTGTTAGAGTAGTTTGTCCCCCTGGAAACTCAGCCCCACTGAGCTGGGATCAGCATTCCTGGGAGGAGGGCCGGGGAGGAGGACGTGTGGAGCCCTAGACAACTCCTGAGGAATAGCCCTGGCTTTCCAGCCAGGAACGGAAGAGAATGGCTGTTTCCTTAGGTCGTTCCCACTCGGCTAAACGAATGCAGAATGCATTTGGGTGTGCTTTCTGGGTTTAAGTGTCCCTTTACTATGTTTTTTGTTTTTTTCTTTCCCTTTGATTTGGTTTGGAGATCATTTGAGGGGGGATGCCCATAACAAAATACCAATAATGAAACGTGAATGGAGGACTTCCTCAGGTGCCCTGATGGTTGTTTAGGCCCCTACATGAAAAAACCACCATGCTATAGACAGATCATCGTTCTATATGGTCCGTCTTTTCCACTTATATTGCCACCGTGCCATGAGCATATTGCTGTGGGAGCGCCCCACAGCATCCTTTTAGGATACCAGAGACCAATTCTTGGGTTGGCATAAGTGATGGTAATGAGAAGGGGAAAGCACTTACGTTATTAAACACCACCCATAGCAACCACCTGCGGGTTTCCAAATATCGCTTCCATCTGCTCCCTCAGTTATTCCGGACAACCACTCAGGTTTTGTGAAAATGTCCAAGGCCTGGTTCTTAGGGCAGCCAGGGCTACGCCGTGTCTCCTCACAGGGCTTTGCAGCTGGGACAGCCACATTCTCGCGGTGGCATCCCCAAGGCACCTTTCGGCTCTGCTCTGCCCAGCGCTGTTTATTAACATCTCTCTGAGCACACAGCACAGGGTTCACTTTGCTACTCAGGGGGCCTGGGATCCTTCGCCTGAATGGCAAACTTCACCAAGCACCTTGCCAGACAGGGCGTGGTGGAACATGCTGGGCATTCTCGGACTTCTTAGCTCCTTGGCACCCCTGAGTGGGGTGCGCCCAACCCTGACACTGAAATGCAGCGTCTGCTGGGAAGGAATGAACTCCACTCGCAATCCAGGTGTCACGGTGTTCCCTGACACCGAGGCCTGAGAGCACCCTGTGTTTGATCTTGCACTGCTCCCGCAAATTGGAAAGGTTATTGCAGAAGCACACACGGGTTAGCGTCTTGACCCCAGCGATCTGCAGTGGGAACATGTTCAACGTGTCTTCTTCCCGAGAGAGAGGAGAGGCTGAATTGGAAGAAACTGCTTATTAGTTTGAAGGGAGACGCTCTTATATTCTTTGGGTTTAAAGTAGATATTAATAATGACAGTTGCATGCTTGCTGTAATTTTCAGTTTGATTTTATGGAAGACACTGTTCTGCGTCTTCTTAAAAATATTCTAAGCCTACATATGGATTAATGCTACTATGTTTAGGCCCTGGGCCTACCAAATTAATACAGTACGGTCCCTGCCATTAACAGACCTGCAAGGTGTCAGAATGAAGAGATTCCCTAAATCAATTACCAGAAGCTCCCCAAGACTTCTTCAAAGGATAAGCCTTTCAAAAATGTCTGGGCATACATTTGTAATAACTATTCATTATTGTTGAGATCAAATATATTTAAGAAGCATGCTCTTGAAGCAATGCTGTTGATGGTCCACCTGGTACTTTTCTTCCACGTGGACTTGACATGATCTAACCTGATCTCCAATAAGACTTCTCAACTCAACTGCCGATCATTGAAATTGACAGATGGGAAGATTTTACTCCAATTTCCAGCAAAGCAAAGGAATAAGTCCTCTGTGGTCTGGATAGAGTGAATTGGTGACTTCATTCCAAAGCTTAGAATTGTGAAATGCAATATTTCCAGGGCACCTCTGGTCTCTGGCACCTTCCTCACAAGAACTAGGACTCACAGAGAGGTGGCAAATAACTGGCTGAAACACTGCAAAGGAGGGAAAAAGCATCTCATTTTAAAGTATGTGCAAGGCAGCCAGATTTCGTGGAGCCAGCACAGTGGGCTTCTGCCCCGTACAGCAGGGCTTACCTGAAAACGCTATTCAGTTTCTTGTGAAAAATTGTTTTTAAGTCTTTTCCTCCAGACTCCAGCCTGGGGACCTATTTATTCAAAACATTCAAAGAGCCTCAGCCTACAGCAGCCTTGCCTGTATGCCAGGCCCCAGCCAGGGCTGCGGACAGCTATAGGGGAAGGCTCCAACTTGTTGCCTTTATGACAGCTGAGGCGCGCATCCCCAGTGTTTCCTGGGCACTTTGGGAAACTAAGTACATCCTTGAAAGCACTTCTGGGAAATCAGGAATGTTCCCGGGAGAAAAGGCTAAATCCAGCAAGGTACCCTTGCTTTCATAGTACAGATAATAATACATTGATGACACTTATTTAGCATTAATGTGTTCTAAGCACCACACAAAGCATGAGATACCCGTTATCTCATTTAACCCTCGCACCATCCCCATGACATGGCTATAGTCCCAGATTTACAGACAAGGACACAGAGGATTAGAGGCATGAAGATTTAGTTTTGAACCCAGGTCTACCTGACTCTGGGGGATTCTATCTTATTAACTACTGCACTCTAGCGCAGGGCTGCTGGCGGGTAGAACTTGAAAGGATTCCAGGGCTTAGGCTACCAGGCAGAATGCTCCTTTTGGAATAAGAGGAGGCTGAAATCCTGAACTGATTCTGGAAGTGTGTGTGCCGAACCACGTGTCCAGGGAACAAAGACCATGCACACAAGGGTAGTCAACAAGATTATAGACAAGCTAGATAATCCCTCACAGTAATATTCCTGTTACTATCCTGCCAGGGTTAGCTGACAAGTAAGAGAATGAGTTTCAAGCTTCTTCTGTGCTTGAATGATGTATGCACAGAATTAACTCATTTTATTTCCCTTCACTGTGTAGAAGTTTGAGAGGAGTCGTACTCTTGTGCATAGTGGTCAGGTACCCGCATCCCTTGATCATGCTTTCTTGTGTGTGGTGTGTGGTAATGTATGACTTCCTCCCCTACCATCCTTTTTCCACAATTGTATGTGTTTAGTGGAAAGAGAGGAAACAACACCTGGGCAACTGTTTACCCAGAAATTTTAATGAGAAAAATAATAAAATAAGTATTTACTTATAAGAATACCCCACTTTTTGGCTGGGCTGAATTATCTGGAATATCTCTTATGATTAACTTCCTTGAATAAGGTCACATTTAATTTTTCCTTTATAGATACACTCTCGACTGGCACCTGTTCATGTAACAGGCCACTGGAGAGAGATGAGTGACTAGTGTCTTTTTTCTTTCCCTTGGCAAGTTTCCCAAGACTCTTGAAATAGAGGTGATTTTAGGTCAATGGATAAATAGTCATAGTACCCTTTAACCCTGGTGTCATTAACCTGATGGTACTCGCAGCTTAAGACTTTGGGCATTAAAGCTGAAACCCTGGTCATTGCTCCCAGGGGGTGGCATGTGTCTCAGTAGATTAATCGGGCATTTCCAAGAGCAGTCAGCTGCATGGAAGCTCACTAAGGACTGCGAGTTCTCTCTGTCCCTGTCTCGGCTCATCACTCCTCCTTAGGTGGGCATTCTTCAGCATTAGAAGGCATGTGGTAATTAAAGTTTAATGAGGAATGCTCTGATGCTGTTAAATGTGCCATGTCCTTCAGCAGACGCTATAACATGTGAACCCACATGGCAAAGATGGTGACCTTTCCTCTTATTCTCAGGGGTGGACTCGTCAGTGGGCACCCTCTGTTTTGATCTTGATCTTTGGCTTAAGCTAATCATTGACAAGGAAGGGCTATTCAGCTCTGTCAGTCCGATTGTATTGTCAATTATATGCATACGTATAACTATCACTAATGTCCTTGCATGCTTCCTCAAGAAAAGAAGTCAGAAATCTTCCTCATTTTATTTAAATGTTGAGTGGTGAGGAAACGTGGAGCTCTCTTTTGTGCTTCAGTTATAACTCCTCCAGTGACTGATGGGGAGGGCACATTGTAAGAGAAAAGGAAAAGGTATTTTGAAGAAAAATTCAACCCAGAATTCATGGGCAAATATCCCATCCTTCTTAAGACACTTTAAGACAAACCATTAAATCATGAACTGCCAGAGCCAAAGAGATTTTAGGATATTAATGCAACATTTCGCTTTGCAAATAAGAAAACTGAAGGCCAGACCAGAGAGACTGTGCTGCTTGGCCAAGATTATGCAATTGTCTGAACACAAAATGTCCCCCTGTACATGTGCTAACTTGATGATCCATGTAATACTGTGAGTCCCCAGGTTTGGAGGCATTTATTTTCAACATGAAGAAACCACTGACTTCCAAACATTTGAGGACACGAATATTTTTCTCTCTTTTTTTAATACATGTAAGATACCTGTAAAATAATATAACCCAGATGACCTTCATCAATGTCAGGGAACAAAATATTTCTCTGAGTATGGTAGGCAGGGATATTGGGATTCTGAGTGCCTGCTGGATCTCTTCCTTTAATCCTGGGATCTGGGGCAAGTCATTTACCTTCTCTAGAGAGTCCAAATTCTGGAAGTTAAAATCCTAGGGTTGAAATCTTAATTCTGCCACTTGCAAGCTGTAAGTCACTGGTTATTTCCCCTTTCTGAGCCTCCTTTTCATCATCTATAGAATGAAGATAACAAGCACAGTGAGGACTATTCTGGGGATTACATGAGAGAACCCAAGATAAATGCTTAGTACATTGCCTAGTATGAGAAAAATAAATGTTAACTATCCTTACCAACACCTACAAAATTAGAAGATGGGTTATGTACTGTATAAGGCCTTCTCTCAACATGAATATATTATAATTAGAAAACTCAAGAATTTCCTATTTTACCCTTCCATTAGTAGGCATGTGCCATTGTTCTTTTACCCTCTACTGTATTTCACAAAATATACAAATTTCCTAGTTAGCTCATTAGGAATAACTCATTGGTCTTAACATAAGGACGGTTAATCAGTTTGACCACTAGATGGTGATTGAACTCTTGTGGCCTCTTAGTTGGCCGACTGTTTACACTGACTAATTAGTAGAAGACATCCAATGTATAAAACATGGAACTTTAAAGCTGGAGGCCGTCTAGTCTAACTTGAAGGGGTTGAGTAAGAGGGTGGCATTTAGGGATAAAGTGAGTTGTTCAAGGCTACACAGCCATTAGTTGTCGTCTTCAGAAAAGAAACAGAGTCCCCATTCTGGCCAATGACTTATTGCTTTCATTACATTTGCTAAAGACACAGTGGGCCACATGCTCCTAGGGGCTTCTGGAGGCCTGGTCTGTTTGCCTCTCATATTTCTTTGATGGTTTTAATAAAAGAGTTTTGAGTAGTTCAGCTGGAAACTTAGTGTTTTGTTAGAAAAGCATACGGAGTAACCAATACAGTTTTCACACCTTCGTATTTCTGCAGTGGCCTCATATTCATTGTCCTTATCCTTAGTGATATTACTGCCACTAGGGAATTTTTACGAGGTGGGGGAAGGTGTTTTTTCAGCACCCCTAGTCTTTTTGCTCCTACAATATTGTGTGTTTGTGTGTATGTGTGTATGCAAAATGCCTCTTTTTAATAATATTTCTCTCTCCATCTTTTCCGCAAGTAACCAAACAACATATTAAAGGATGCTCACACAAAAAAAACAATGGTGCCCCTTCTGCCCCCACCCAGAACCTACTTCCTCATTCAATGTTTTTCAGGCAGTCTTTCTTATGAAATGTGGAATTCATGCTTAATCTCAAAAGCACAGTTGAGTAGATAGGAAGATATAAATGTAGACAGGAAAACATAGAACTTTGAGTAGAAGGAGCCTACAAAATGACCATCTGTCCTCAGAAAAATTGTGTCTGTTTCCCAAAGAAACAGCTGATAAAAATAGGATCAGCCTAGATTCTAAGTCATTCAACACCAGTGTTCTGTACACCAACTCTATTGTCATCCTTGTTCGCACAGCGTCAGAACCCACTGATGCCAGGGACAGATGCTGAGTCAGTGCTGAGTCAGTGCAAGATGAAACCAGGGTACTCTAAGATTAGTTGTGCTTTATGGGTCTGTGCAAAATGATTGGGGCTGTTCTCCTCGCTGCATGGAGTTTGGCACATCTGGTAGGACTAGACGGGATACTTCAAGTGATTCTAACAGCAACTAATTCTGGCTACCAGTGCTCCTGGTAGTCTTAACCCAAAAATATACTGCATCAAACATCCACATCTTAATTATTCTGGATCGACTTAATTTATGCTGGTAGAATGTGTATAGAGCAGTTATCTTTGTTGATGGGAAATGTTTTACCAAATTAAATGGTGGAATTTGAACTCAGTTACCTTTCGTTGACTGACTAAATGTTAATTTTTCATCAGTACAATTTCCAAGAATCTCTTCACTGGGTGGTGGGGGGATGACCTGGGCACATTGCAGAAGGTGGGTGGCTATTGGCCAGGTTGGGTTGTGTTTGGCATGGTCCTGTAGCTTCCAAGAAGGTGAGGGAGCTATAAGCAACATCCATCCAACATTTGAGATATTTGAGTTTTTTCTGTTGATTCCTCTCTCAGGTCCATAAAAGGTGGCTCCGATTCCTCCCTTTCTGAGCCTCAGCCAGCTCGGTCGGGCCGAGGTTTCCTGTACAGAGTGCTCAGAGCGGCCCTTCCCCTTCAGCTGCTCCTGCTGCTCCTCATCGGGCTCGCCTGCCTGGTACCAATGTCCGAGGAAGACTACAGCTGTGCCCTCTCCAACAATTTCGCCCGATCATTCCATCCCATGCTCAGATATACGAATGGCCCTCCTCCCCTCTGAAGCAAGCAGATGCCATCTGCAGCGGTGCTGGCCGTGTAAGGAGGGTTTAGCCCAAAGCCAACCCAAACTAGCAAAAGGAGCACCTGAATGCTGGTGAAGGCCTTCGGAGTGGTGGCATTAGCCATGTGTCCAAATCATGGCTTCGGAGGTGGATGATCAGCAATGACAGAAGGAGAGCAAATAGAAGAAGGTGTGGAAGAAATGTTGTTTGAAACTCTGAGCCTCAGTACTAAAGAGATGAAGTACCTCCAATGTCCCCTGGATGCCTGTGTCCTTGGCCTTTGGCCCAGTCTATGCACACCCAGGACTGTAGCACACCATCTGGGCACGTTTCCCACCATGTGCCCCATCCATTCATTAAATGGCGCCACCTGAGCGCCACATTGGTATCGAACGGTCTACCAACCAACCAGTGCTGAGCCTTGTAACATACAATTTTGAAGAGCTCATCTGGCAGCTTTCTTTTTGCCTGGTTTTTCTTTGGGGCATGATATTTTAACCTTTGCTTTAGAAGCACAAGCTGTAAATCTAAAAGGCACTTTTTTAAACAGTATAAAGAAAAACTGGATGTAATAAATAAAATCATGGAAGGATTTATGTGAAAAAAAGTTGAATGTTATAGTAAAAAAAAAGATATTTATGTATGTACAGTTTGCTAAAGCCAAGTTTTGTTTGTATTGATTTCTTTGCATTTATTATAGATACTATAAAATATTTTGTCTGTGCTTTTTTTTTTCTCCCGTAAAGAAATGATTCTAAATTTCCCTGTTGAGCAGAATGCAACCTGAGTTACCTTTTTGCAGAATGAATGAAACTGAAACATAAGCGTGCATTAATGAATAAGGAGGATTAGAGGTAGCACGTGTTTAGACCTAGCGGTCGCTAGGTGATTCCTCTCGCTATCCTCCTCCCACAGCCAATTGTATCTCCTCAACTCTTGTTTCTCAGCACCTGTCATCCTCTCCTTTCTTTTCTGTCCCCTCCGCCCAACTGGAAGAGCCTCCTATGGAGCCTCCACTCCATCCCAAGGCTACACAACAGTCTATGAACTTCCTTACATGTTTTATCTATCAGTCAAGTCCACAGACAATAAGATTTGGTTCTGCCCCTCTGATCTTTCCAACTAGTGGCCCGCATGGAATTGTTTGGTGCTCATGGAATTTTAATCCACTATTTAATCATGGGAGGAGAAAGGTTTATATAAAACCTAGGTGTCAGGTTTCTCTTGAAAGTGGGAACTCTGGTGTCCTGGGTGCCCATTCCTAAAGGGCAGTCATTGCTGGACGGAAGTGGCTGCTGCTCCTTGACCTGTAGGAAGAGACACTTTGTCCATGTCCACTTACATCCTATCCACCTCTCTCAGTGCGTGCCCCAGCCTGATGCCTGTAGGTATTTATCAGTCCTGCTCTAAATCAAGAATGTAAAGCAAACCGAACTTTTCATGGTTACCTGGACCTGCCTTGCGCAGCTTCCATGATGCTGTAGCCTGAGCGCCTTCCCACGTCGGGGTCCTGCGTCTCTCTAAGCCCCGGGCCCTGGGCGGACCTTCTAATTCACTCCCTGGGGTATGGCCTCAGAGGTTACATTTCAAACAGATGCCTGGGGTGATTTTAGCCCTATTACCTGTGGAAAAGCACCACTCCATACCTTCCTGCTCCATCTTTTTGTTCTCACCACACCCCTCCTCCCTCTCAAGATAACTCCCAAGTTGCCTCCTCCTGGAAGACCTTCCTGATCACTGCTGGACTGGACTGAATACTTCTCTCCACTGAACTTTCCCATCACCCGAGTTGAGTTCTGCTTTCTACTGCCAGGCTGCTCCTTTCTTATCTCCCCCGGAACCTCCCCCAGGAAACAGACTGGAGTTGTGCTCTTTTCTAAAGACAAACCTGCGCGTGGTATGTTTTCTGTCTCCTGCTTCTGGGAGGGCTGCGAGCGGTGGTGGAGATTGGACTTGAGAGGGTCCGATCTGAGAGGGTCACTCTTCAGGCCTTGTTCTTCCTCACTTCCCTGTCTTCTCTGCTCCAAAACCCAGATGTGCAGTCTGGCTGCTCGAGCAGTCCAGCCCTTCAAGAGCCACCTTTTGCCACTGTGAGCAAACTCGCTCTACAGCGAGACATGGGTCATGGGAGAGACCAGCACAGAGGGACTCCAGAGCCCTCTCTCCGCATCGCTGAACTGCCTTACTCGACATCCCCCAGCCCCAAAGAAGCAACCGTTAAATGTGGCTGAAAAAAAAATCAGCGTATAGTCCCTGTGTGCCTTCCTCAAAACCCCTGTGCAACACTCAGTGGGATGTATGATGCACATTTTTATTACAATTTTCAAAGATTTAAATAACAGGGTATTGGAATGAAACAAAAGTAGGAACCACTGATGAGTGGAAGCATTGGAGCTATGAGATGATGGCTTTCCCCTGATGATAGTAGGGCCCGTCTAGCCAGGACCAAAACAGACAGTCACAGAAGAGACAAGGATTGTTTCTTCTTTAGTTTCTGGCTTCTCCTTAACTTCTCCCTCGGGTTTTAACACATCCATGAAGAATCCATTTGTGGGTACCACAGAGGGACCTATTTGAGGGAGATCCCTCATTCAGATGAGGAAGAGGAGTGACTGGTCCGTTGGGGGCACCTCCCGCAGCCTCTGCCAAGCAGCCCTCTGTGGGGAGAGGCCTGGTCCTTCGCTGGGCAGAGGCAGAGCCGGATGAATTGACAGCTAGGGCAGCCGCATCCTGGAGGCTAAGGGAGCTGGACCACACCGGGCAATGAGGAATACTCTCTCTGGGGAGCCGAGGAAGCCAGTTGGGTCTGATCTTTCTAAAATACGAAGGTCATAGTAAAATGAATCAGCCTGGCTATTCTTTAGCCATCCTGGTGCAGGAACAGGAATGTAACTGAATGTGAAAACCCGTTACATGAGGAGAAGGAGGTCCTCTGTAAGCTGTGCACGGATGCCTGCGTTCGATGCCATGGGCGGTGGGGAAGGAACCCTGGGCTCTGGGCTGACTAGACATCTCGGGCCTCCCAGGGGTGCCCTCCCATCCCGGCCACGTCCTGCCGGACACATTCCTGAGGCCACTGCTGGGCTCAGCGGGTGACGCTGCCAACATCCAGGACAGCTCCAAGCAGCTACCCCTTTAGCCCTCAAACCACCCAGCGCAGCTCACAGCTCACCCTCGTCCCCCACACCAAGACCCCCCCCCACCCCGTGGGATTTGCAGATGGAGGGTGACTGTAGGGATCCCCACACACACACCCCCGTGGGATTTGCAGATGGAGGGTGACTGTAGGGTCCCCACACACACCCCCATGGGATTTGCAGGTGGAGGGTGACTG